AAAAAAAGGTCATAAAATCAGGTTGGTTACATGATGACCTGTTTGACAACTGGCATAACTTACAACCATAATTTTTGACTCAGTCATGGTCATAAATTGAGGACTACCTGCAGTCTGATTCGTTTTCCAGTCTTGGGTTTCTAATTGGACTTTCAAATATGGTTTCATTGCTCTGAAGGAATAAAGGGCAGTTTGATAATCCCAGAACATTTCCAGTAAGAAACAAAGTAGTACAGAGCAGCTTAGTGAAGGAGGTATAGTACAAAACAACCCTTGTTCTAATAAATCCTGCTTTATGTGACAGAATCTGCCACAGCTGGCCCATTCTTCCTTACCTACATATATATTAAAATGACACGCCAGCACTATGGTGTCTAGGAAGCAGAATAAGTCCCAAACAGTATTTCAAAAACCCCAAACCATTTCTTCTCAGCTCCTTTTCCTTACCACATCAAAATTTTCTGTCCTAGACTGTTATCCGAATCATACAAGGCAACCATTAAAACACTCACAAAACCACACTTCTGCAGTATTGGTGAACAGGATTAGTGCAGAAGAATCTTGCCCTGGATTTTAAACACTATCTAACTCCACGGTGAGACTGAAACTCAAAGGGCCGGTTCGAACATGCACTCCATTTATGGTGAGCCAGATCGTGGTTTGTTTGGTTTTACCTCAGCATTTTGCGCAAACTCAACCACAGCGGTTTCTATACCACGAATTATGGCTTGCTACATTGTCGGAACCAAGCCAGAAGGGGTTTAGTCAACAGCTATGAATACATAAACATAAACCTGGTATTCAAAGACTTTGTTACCAATAAATAAATAAACAAACAAACAAACAAACCGTAGTTTAACAACATGGGCAAATCCCTTATATCTATATATGACTAAACCAGCAAAGATCAAGCAAAATGAACCTCCATGTCCCTCACCTTTTTCAGCACGTTTATGGAGTCAAGATAGTTAACCTATCTGTCTCGGAGCCACAAGCAACGTTTGTGCATGTGTAAACTAGCCTCTGAGGTTGACTCTTATCAAATGTGTATTGGTCAAACCACTATAATATTCACTGCGTTTTCTTTGAATTCTGGCGAGGGATGAATCACACACACAAGAAAATGGAAACTGATCTGGTTAGATTATCTGAGTTTTAATGAGGAGATGCCTGGAAAAAGAATCCCTCTGTGTTATCTTTCCCATCCAGAAAACTGAGCAGTGATATAGAAGGGGATGGTGTCAAAGAAAAGGAAGATCAGAGAAATGATTCACCATCTGTTACTCTCCCTGAAACCAAAAATCACATTCTATATCAGCCACAAGCCTGCAGAGTTCAAGATTTCTCAAGGTGAGAAGATATAAAGCAACTTCCTTGCCTGATTCATCAAATATCCTATGCTCAAATCTGGTCTTCCGCAGCATTTTTATGTACTACCTATCTAAGCGGAAGAACAGCACAGAGGAGATGCATTGCTATGCATATAAATATATACATGTCCATCTCCCTCCCCTCCTCCATCTTTTAACATCACTTTGTCTCATTTTCTGGACTGAACACCTTTTGGGGGGCAGATATTCTTCAAGATGTTGGGCAAAAAACTTCGGATATTCTATAGATTTAGAAGCTTGGCAAAAACTTTGGGATAGAAACATCAAATTGACTAAAGCAGCTTCATATAAAGAAAATTTGTATAAAATGTTTTACAGATGGCACATGACACCAGTAAGGTTAGCGAAAATGTTTAAAAATGTTTCGAATAACTGTTGGAAGTGTAAACAAAAACCAGGCACTTATTATCACATCTGGTAGGTGTGCCCTAGTGCAAAGAAATTCTGGCGTAAGATTCATATATGGCTGGAAAAGATAACTAAAATACATATAGAATTTAGGCCAGAATTGTTTCTGCTAGGAATACTAGGATCTAATTATGGGAAAGAGAACGCGTATTTAATATTACATATATTGACAGCTGCGAGAATAGCATTTGCCCAATACTGGAAAAATGAAGATATACCACCCGATGAGATTATAATTAGAAAAATTTCAGAATGTGCAGAAATGGATAGATTAATGTTAGAGATTAAAGAGAAAGAAGACTCAGTGTATTATAAAACATGGGAAAACTTTTATCAATGGTTAGCAAAATGAGATAATGAAAATGAAATTTATTAAGATTATTGATTTTTTCTTTTGATTAATTGATATGCTTTATAATCTGTTATTTTTGTTGACTACAGTTACTGATCATTATATTAGCCCTGTGGAATACTTGTATCCGGATAATAGTTTGCTTGCTAAAGCGTGAAATGTTATTGGGGGCAACCCCATTGTTGTACCCATTCCCACCCTAAATCCTCCCTTGAACCCCACCCTGAACCCCACCATTCATAATGACCCTCACTTTTCCCTACCCTGAAAAAACTTAATAAAATATATAATTAAAAAAAGATGTTGGGTTTTGATCTATTAGCCCTTTTTTCTGCATTTATCCCACAACTCTTTTTGTAAAGCAGCTTAATGAGCAGAGTTTTAACAAGTTGGGGGAATAGGACAAGCACAGTTTCTGGATCTGGAAAGAGACCTGTATGCTGAAAAATTTGTTTTCACAATCTGGAATAAATCCAGAAGTTCTTTCACAAATATCTCTCAGGGGAAAAAATGGATACCTTTTCCTTGAAGTACAGAAATGTTATCTGAGAACTTCATAATAATGGTGCACAGATATACAAACACACTAATGTCTATGGTAAATTGGTGGCCAGAAAGTTACCAGGCTAGAAACCACGAGATGGCGAGTTCTAGTCCTACCTTAGGCAAGAGAGCGTGCGGTGTGACTTCAGGCCAATCACCAGAAGACTGTAAGTTCTAGTCCCACTTTAGGCATGAAAACCAGCTGGGGGACTTTGGGCCAATCACTGTCTCTTATCCCAACCGCCTCACAGGGCTGTTGTAGTGGGTCGGAAAGGAGGAGGAACGAGTAATAGTCACCTTGAGTTATTTATACAAAAAATAAAGGTGGGATATAAATAAATAACGAAATGTTGAAAGGTGTGGAGGAAGCATATAGGGAAAACATATATACAGTATAATAATGCCAGGGAACAATTATCTTTGCATCACAACAATTTGATTTTCTGTCACTTGAAATCCGTCTCTGTTTGCCAGAAGATGGTGCATTTATAAGACTGACAAATGAGAGAAAAAAATAACAATCAATTGCTCAGAATACCAAAAACTCAGAACCATGCTCATATAACACCCCTTTATTTTATGGGATTAAGCAGCAATAAAAGTGCACTGTATATTCTTTAAAAATATGAGATATATGGTTTCATCACTATCCTGACAACATGTTGGCCAACCTTTCACACAAATATCTTACACATAACTATGCACTCGGTTTCAGTTCATACCCAAGGGTTAAACAGGGTGGATTTACCTTATAACATTATCAACATACAGTATTTGTTCCCTAACTTAAACAACAAATTCCCCCACCTTAGGCATGAAAAACTGGCTGGGTGACTTTGAATCAGTCACAATCTTTCAGGCCAATCCACCTCACAGGGTCGTTGTTGTGGGGAAAATAGGAGAAAAGGTATGTTTGCAGTCTGGAGTTATTTATAAACCATAATAAAGACAGGATAAAAAAATAAATTTTAAAAACACGCTTATTGCAAAAAATGAATTTGTGAAGACACACAATGATAAATAGAAGTCCAATGCCATTGTACCTTTGAAAACTGGATAAATATTTCTTTAAAAACCGAAAAGACTCTTCAAGAAAAATCAGGGGAAGGATAAACATGACTACATAAAAGAACCAATGAACTGTGAGCCACATTCTCCTCCCTTCTCAAGATAATTTGCAAGGTATGTCAATTTCAATAAATCAAATATGCAGATTAGTGGAAAATTATAAACCAGATGTTGCTTCCAGAACTGAACATGAAACACTAACTATGCATCTAACACAACTCTTTTATTACAGTGCTGTAAATGTCCCATGCAAGCTTATAAGTTGCACAGAAGTCTTCAAAATTAGTTGTTAGGAAGCCCAAGAGATAAAACATTAGCAACGATTGCTTAGCTATCTCTACTGACCTTTAGTTTTGATACTGCAGAAGACAATGCATATTGCTTCAGCCCTATAAATCATGTAAAATACTGAGAATAACCAATATTTGAATGCTGAAATAGGGAAGTGTCAAATCTCAGGAACGGGGGAGAGGAAATTAATGTGTGTCTTTGTCTTTTATCCTACAAAAATGGAAGCTGACTTCAAAGGCAGGAGTCCTTATACCATTCTAGACAAGAAAAGATTGGACCACTGTTTGTTCCAGATATTACATTATAAGGACTCCTGACATGGGCAGGGGATTGGACTAGAACAGTATTTCTCAACCTTGGCAACTTTAAGATGTGTGGACTTCAACTCCCCAAATTCCCCAGCTTGGCTGGCTACGGAATTCTGGGAACTGAAGTCCACATGTGTTAAAGTTGCCAAGGTTGAGAAACACTGGATCACTAGAAGACCTCCAAGGTCCGTTCTAGCCCTATGATTCTATGATTCACTAGTTGGAGAGAAATATTCTATATACTCTCAAAGCCACTTTTCATTTGACATTTTCCAGGCCTGTTCTGAAAGTGAAAAAGATTAGGACAATTTAGCCTTACTAGTTTGAGCAAACATCCTAATGACAATAAGGGGCATAAAACAAACAAGATTTTCCACATATATCCCAGATTTTGACTGTAGAATCTCTATAGAATTTGCATTTTTTAAAAGGTGCTGATTCCTCTTTTTATAAGCCAACAACTAAGTGATTCTGAGCTTGCCCTAAACATTTCAGTACCTGAGGCTGAAAACATTGCACTCTACGCCATTATAACTTGGGGCAAAGTCAATTAAACAATAATTAACAATATTCAAAATCTAGTGCTTCACTGTGCCTCACTTTCATGAGGCATTTTGGAGAGAAAAAGTGTTAACTTACTTTTCATACTCGATATTATCTTTGTCACATCGCTTGTCTTTGTGCTTCTCCCAGTCTTTCCCATGTTTACATGTGGTCAGAGAAATAATGTCTTTACCATTATGGATGTGGCGAAGAGCATTCCTGGTGTCGGAACCAATGCCGGTCAGGTATCTCTTCCCTTTAAAAACCAAGAGATACTTTTTCTTGGGTGGGAGAGAAGTCTTGTATAACCAGCCTCTTTCCCCACCTTTTTGAGGATGGTCCTTCGAAAACAAAGGGATGGAGATATCAAAACCAGGCCGAAAGTTCTCCACATAAAAACTGGCTTTGGCCAGGATAGCTTGTCCAATGTCAAAGCCCAAATCTTCGGTGTAATTAGGCCACGTGCCAGAATACAGGTTAAATATGAGATGGTTTTGTCCATCATTCCAAAGCTGGAAACCTTGGATTTTCTCATTGATGTTATGGACATATTGTATGGAGAGATGGTCCCTATCCAGTGTGTCAATGTTTAGAACAAACAGGCAGGCTTCCTCCGGGTTTGAGGTGTAATAACGCGACTCTTCAATGGAGCTGATGATTTTGAGGTAACTTTTCGATACAGGATCCCCTCCTTCTAGGGGGTAAACAAAGACTTTGAACCCGTGTTCCCTACATTTGGAAAAATCAAAGCAAGTCTCCATACGGCACCGGCTGTTCTTGTAAACACTCAACCTCAATTGCTGCCGGCTTTTTGGAGATTCGTCACTGTGGTCCCTTTCATTGCTCTGGAGCTCCTCAGAATCTGCAAAGTTCTTGAGAAGAAACTCGTCGGCCCAACGAGGCCAGGTCTTTAAGACTTCAGCTTTTTTGCTGGAGAAAAAGGCCAAGTGTCTTATTTGGTCTCCCCCAAACAAAACAAGCAGAAGCCAGGTGGCCAAGAGAGTCACGAACAGGTATTTTTTCCTGGCCTGCATGGGTTCATGCAGAACCCACCAAATCCTTATTTAGAAAGGAAATCAAATGGATCAACACAGCAATCCAGAAAGTGAATTATTCAGGCATGAGGGGGAATTAAATTCATTGGAGAGAAACAGGAGCTCAAACCTCAGAACTGGAGTCTAGAATGCTGCAGATGGCAATTTCTAAGGATCCAATTTCTCTCCCCATTTTAGGATATACCCTAGCCTTGAAATTCACCACTCCGTTTTTCTTGTTAGACGTGATTTGATGTTTTCTTCAGTTACAACAATTTGGTGTTGTTTTGAACCAACCCAGCCTTTATCATCTATAATCTTTACTCCATATTTATTTCAGGCTGGGTAAACAGCCTGAGTTTGATTACTATTTTTTTTTCTCTTTACCACTTCCTGGTGTTTTCCTTTTTCAATCTTCAGCTGCTGCCCTATCTTTCTTCCCCTGAGGATTAAAAAAAAATCTATGTCATTTTATCAACTCACCCTTCCAGTTTGCGACTGTATTAGGTTCTTCTATTGTTCTGCTATCTGATTTGGCCTGGCACAACCTTATTCCCTTATCACACACCTCTAGGGGATGAGCAGACAATCCAACAGGTAACTGATAAAAGTCTCACGGGATACTTGATCCTGAAAAGATCCTTAATGGAGAATATACCTTTCTTCCACTCAAGCTGGCTTTGAATCCAATTGTTTGCCTTACAAGAACAGATGAGCCAGGTGACTGTATCTTCTGCTGTCCAACAAACACAAGGAAACATTGGCAGTCCCAAATTTCTTAGATTCTTGGCGCTGGGTGCTTTCCGATTGTGACATTTCTCTGCTTCCAAAGAAATAAACTCAGATCTTCATCCACCAATAATCTTCAAGCCAAGCCAAGTTTTTTTTTTCCTGCGGTTTTCCTTTGTTTTATCAATATCACTATTCTTTGAAGATCAGATTTTCAACAAGTTTAACTCTCAACCTTCACAGAAGTCTTCCAACCCTCCCGGTTGATCTTTTCAACGCCTTCGCTTCTTTCTGGGACCCGGTTAATTCGCTCAACCCTTCCTGAAAGTCACCAACCTTTTTCTCTCTAACCGAAGTTATTTCTGTCCGGGTATAGGTTTTTATTATCCTTCCCCCCCCCCCCCCCGCAACCCGCTTAGCACTTTTCTCTCTTTGGCCGAAAAAACTGGAGCTTTCTGCGCTTTGGTGCTTGTGGTGGATCATCCGATTCTTCCGAGGCTCAAAGACCCCATTTACCCCGAGAGGGAATAAATCCGGCGGGAATCCCAGGGCAACGCACCGCAGTGCCCTTAAGCTCACCTAAGCTTCCGTCCGCCCTTCCTTCTCAGTCCATTATAGTCCGCATTATCCGCACTCGCCGGCTTCCTTGCTACGAGCAATAACCTGGCAAGCCACGACCATCCACCTTTCTCCGCCGTCCCGTCCGTCAATCGCGGCACTGCGCGACGCCGGTCCAGCTCTCGCTCCCCATCGCCGCCCTCCCCTCCTGCGCGCCTCGGCTACTCTACGCGCAGCGCTCCACTTCCACCTTCACAACATTCCACCCGCCCCCGCCCCCTCTCTTCTGATTCGTCCCCGGCCCCCTCAAAGGGCGTGGCTGCTCCCTAACTCTTTCCTAACCGAGGGCGCGAGCGGGGGGGGGGGAGGCAAGGTTGCTCATTGGCTCTTCCTGCCGCGCCCGTCCGGGATGCTGGTCCACGTGGGAAGAATTGGAGGGCCGCGGTCGGTGCGTTGCCGCGAAGGCTCCGCTCTCCGGGGGTGGGAAGAGTTCTTGGCTCGGACTCGGGAGGGCCACCGAGAGTCGGGGTGGGTTACTTCGGATCAAGCGTGAGCTTTCCAGATGGAACGGGTTGCTAAAACCTAGTTGGGGGAGCAAAAGTTGTCCCCCAGACAAATCCACCCAAAGGGCTCGCTCCAGGCTGAGATTATCTTATTTAGGACACGTGATGTGAAGACCTGGCTCTCTGAAGGTTCTAACGCTGGGGAAGATGGAGGCAAAGAGACGACAGTCAGAAGTTGAGAACTAGCTGCAGTTGAAATACCAGCATGGTCAATTGCACAAGGAAAGGACTACTGAGACCATGTAGGGCTTTTAATAAAAAATAATAATAATAGTAATAATAATAATAATAATAATAATAATAGTAGTAGTAGTAGTAGTAGTAGTAGTAGTAGTAGTAGTAGTAGTAGTGACAACAATAAACAATAACAATGTTGGAAGGGACCTTGGAGGTCATCTAGTCCAACCCCCTGCTCAGGCAGGAAACCCTATACCATTGCAGACAAATGGCTGTCCAGTCTCTTCTTTAAAACTTCCAGTGTTGGAGCATTCACAACTTTTGGAGGTAGGTTGTTCCACTGATTAATTGTTCTAACTGTCAGGAAGTTTCTCCTCAGTTCTAGGTTGCTTCTCTCTTTGGTTAGTTTCCATCCGTTGCTTCTTGTTCTGCCTTCAGGTGCTTTGGAGAATAACTTGACTCCCTCTTCTTTGGGGCAGCCCCTGAGATATTGGAACACTGCTATCATGTCACCCCTAGTCCTTCTCTTCGTTAAACTAGACCAGGGGTAGGCAACCTTGGCTCTTTTATGACTCGTGGACTTCAACTCCCAGCTGGCTCAGGAATTCTGGGAGTTGAAGTCCATGAGTCATAAAAGAGCCAAGGTTGCCTACCCCTGAACTAGACATACCCAATTCCAGCAACCATTCCTTATATGTTTTAGCCTCCAGTCCCCTAATCACCTTTGTTGCTCTTCTCTGTACCCTTTCTAGAGTCTCAACATCTTTTTTTCATCGTGGTGACCAAAACTGGATGCAGTATTCCAAGTGTGGCCTTACCAAGGCATTGTAAAGTGGTATTCACGTGATCTTGATTCTATCCCTTTTCTGCCTTGAATTTAAAATTTCTTGTTCTTATTCCTGACTATATCAAGGGTTACATGCTAATTTTAAACCGAGGTTTTGCATCCTGATTTTCTAGAAAATGTTGAACTGTATATGGTTAAAAATACATAGAAGTTTACTATTAGCTTGTAGCTGGCCTCAAAACACTGAGCTAGCATATAACAATGCTGTCTAAACTGAAATCTTGCACACCCTTCATAATTCCATAATGCTAAGATTATTACAGGGGAATTTATTCACTGTCTTAACAACTCAGTTTTGGATTTCTTCTAATATTTTACAGGAGCAGGTAGAGGGATACATTTACAGTGGCCACGGATGCATCTTTGGAAGCCTTGAAGGACCAGATTAAGGACAGTCATGAAAAAGGTGTATCCATGCAGTCTCCAGTTGATGATACATCTATCTCAGGCACATCATGAAAAGACCCAACTCTTTAGAGAATCTATGATGCTGGGAAAAGAGGAAGGAAAGAGAAAAGGATAGCCGACAGTGACATAGAAGGACTCGGTCACAGTGGCAAGAAATCCAATGTGGGAAGACCTGAAAAATCAGGTAAGGGGCTGTCATGGAGAAAATATATCTATGTGGTCACTACCGGTAGAGTCAGAGTGACTCGATGGCATATAATCACTCAGTTCTCCATTAGGAAGATCACAGATTGGCATATGGATTTGAGTTTCAGTAATATAGATTAGAAAAAAATGGCGAGTACATTGTAATTGTAGAGCAAGGGTTGAACTCAAGTTTTATTTATATGTACTGTAAAAAAAAGTCAGAAGTTACTCTTTTTTATACGTTTCTGTATTTTTTTTACATTTCTATCTGCTATTCTTTTTATATTCTCTCTTGACTATTAGTTTTTTGTTTATTTTTTATTTTCATAAAAGTTTATGATATATGCATGTTTATGCATGTGGCCCTATGTGTGTGTGGGGCACACTCACATGCACACAAAAACAAAAAAGGTCCCACATTGGGAACCAATGGTGTAGATAATTCCAAACTTGCCTTGATAATTGTGCATCTGAGTACTTTATCATTCCAACATGGAGTAGGGTCATTACTTTTACAAACACTGCTTTTTCGAAAAGAATGGTCAAGACTTGGTTGGTATTACCTATCATAATAAACTTTGCTTCTGACTCAGCATTGCATAAGATGGTTTTAAAATCCTGGTGTTGCATTAAAAGCTATGGGTTGCTTATGAGAGGTTTGATGAGCAAAGCTAAGCCATATGCCATGTTTGGTTCCCATAATGGGCTCCTGTTATAAGCTGTTTTAACCACTACAGCAAATGGTTGGAGATTGATAAGGAGTAGGATCCTCACCATATAAAGAACGGTTGCTGGAATTGGGTATGTCTAGTTTAATGAGGAGAAGGATTAGGGGTGACATGATAGCAGTGTTCCAATATCTCAGGGGCTGCCACAGAGAAGAAGGGATCAACCTATTCTCCAAAGAACCTGAAGGGAGAACAAGAAGCAATAGATGGAAACTAACCAAAGAGAGAAGCAACCTAGAATTAAGGAGAAATTTCCTGACAGTTAGAACAATTAATCAGTGGAACAACCTGCCTCCAGAAGTTGTGAATGTTCCAACACTGGAAGTTTTTAAGAAGAGACTGGACAACCATTTGTCTGAAATGGTATAGGGTTTCCTGCCTGAGCAAGGGGTTGGACTTGATGACCTCCAAGGTCCCTTCCAACTCTATTATTACTATTACTATTACTACCTGTCCCTGTTTCTATTGGTCTTTCTCGCCTGCTTATTGCTAGCTAGATATGCTATACTTAGTATTAAAGATTTAGCTTAAATATTATTTAAATTTCTGTTCTTCCCTTCCTCTCTTCAAAATCTAGTTTGGTTAAAAGTGAGTTTTTCTATCTTCATATATTTCAAAATAAGTCTAGCTTTTGCCTCAAATATATTAATTGTCTGCCTGTATCCCAGAAAACCATTTTATGGGGATATTTTACTTTGTTAATGGGATGTTCTACAATACTTTCTATTCTTTCAGCACCCTGCTTATGCCCAGGAACACATCCTCTAACAGGAGCTCCTGCTGAATTAAAATCAACAGTGATAAACCAAATCTAAACTGCGTGTTTCCAGAGTGGGTAAGCCTAACAATGCTCTTCCTATTTTGCATCTTGAAGGAGAGATAAAGAACTTCCAATAGTAATAGCACTTAGAATTATATACAGCTTCATTGTGCTTTACAGCCCTCTCTAAGCAGCTTACAGAATCACCATATCACCCCC